TACATTTACATGTAAAACTGATGATAAAATATTTTACTATGATCAAATAAGAGTACATCATCAATAAATTAGTAAAATTATTAAATAAAAAATTACTTTATTATTATTATAATATTTATTTTTAAATATGTAATTAATTAAAATAAAACCACTATTATGCCACCTAAAACACATTACAAAGTCTTTGATTCCTAAAACATTTTCAAAGACAACATCTTTTTTTTTTTTTTTTTTAAAAATAATTATTATAATTATTATAAGAAATAATATTAAGAAAACAGAGAATATTCTTGTTGACTATATAAGACATGTCATTTCATGTCTTATATAACGTGCATGTTTCTGTCTTCTTGGATCAACCACCAAAACTGCAATTACTGCCTGATGCATTAAATTTTAATTAAGAAATTACTGTCTCAGCAAATTATGTCTTGTGACCGTGCTTCATTACATATAATTACATGTGCTGTTTAATATAATATATGCATGCACACACATATATATATAAAAGAAAAAAACTACAGTTTGTCTCTGCAGATTTTATAAAATAGGAAAAAAAAACTTATTGTAAATTTAAACTATAATGTGATCTACATCGTTGTGTGTATAAAATAGACATGTATTCATGTGCTATTAGTTTGTTGACTTTCTATTTATTCTATTTTGCTCCCTTATTAATAATTTTGAAAAACTTAAATATATCATTGACAATTTTTTATAATCTTAAAGCATGTTCCGTATCATGTCGCACTATGTTGATCAACCCATAGAAAATTATGAAATTACATGAAATATCAAATCAAATGTTAGGAGGTGAGTTCTCCTTTGATCTTCAGGAGAATATTTTGTGGGTGACTGTGGTATCATAATTTTTATTACTTAAATATATGCGTCACACGTAAAAAAAATTACCAGTTATAATATAAAGGTCTATAAAATTTAAAATCATATCATCTTGAGTCACCAAATTAGCACGTAGTTTCATACAATTTATAATGCTCTCATACTCAAGTACCACTGATTAGACAATTTTTATAACTAAAACTACATGTTTTTAAAAGTTTAATATCAAGTTATTAGTATTATGTGATTTTATTTTACTTTTTATATAGAATTAAATAGTTACATACATTTTCGATGTGAGATTAAGTTATCATAATATATAAGTTATCATTAACAACTTGAGTTTGGGCTTTTGAATGCTAGTTGTTTAGTTTCAAAAGATTATTGGGTTACTGGTTTTTAGGACTTGAGATCTTATTAATGGTATTAGAACACGTGTCAATTTAGTGACTATAGGTAATACGATCTTGAATTTTGTGACATTTAGATTGTAATTTGTAATTGTGTGATGTAATAACCCGTCTTAAAGATGGGACATTTCTACCACCTATTATCCCCATTGGAGAACATTTCCATCATGC